AGGAACCCATACTTGTCGAATTTTAAAATATTTTCTTTTCTTAATGGGAAAAGTATGTTCCTTATGACCATGAAAATGGCAATGTGAGCATTTTGCCAATTTTATCATAGATTAATTGTTTTTAGAAATGATTTCTTTTTCTTTTGTTAAGCGTTCAAGCTTAACCTTCAAATCAAGATTTTCTTTTTCCAAATCTTCAATTTTGGTTAATGAAAGCCCAAAATCATTTTTCAAAATTTCATTTTTAAAAATTTCATTTTTCTTTTGAAAATCCAATTTAGCTTTTAAGAGAAAATCATTTTCAACTTTGAATTTTGAAATCAATTTATTATTTTTGTAATTCATGGTCTCAAATTCCAAATATAATTCATCATAGGCATCTTGTAACTCTTTGAATGAATAGTAATTTATATAACAAGTGTTAGAGGATACCATTGAATTTTCTCTGATGGTCATGGGGCTTAGGTTGGCTTCTTCATCTTCATCATTGGAGTCATCTTCATCACTCTAAGCTGCAACAAATGCCTTCTTGTTAGATGATCCCTTCTTATTTAAGAGGGGATAATCATACTTAACATCCCTGTTCTTTGACATTCTAAGCACACCAGGAGACTCTTATTTTTTATTGGTCCATGCTTCACTTCCTTGAAAGTCATGAATCTGATGAATCTTTTAAAGAGCTTGGACATCTCTTCTTCTTCTTCATCGTCTTCATCCACAACATCATTTGAATCTTGATTGCTCTCATTGGTAGCTTTGAAGGCAATGCCTACCTCATTTTTCTTCTTGTTTTGCTTCTCTTCATCTTCTTCCGATTCTTTCACCATCAACTCATGAGTGAGAAAAGAACCAATAAGCTCATCAAGAGTAAGAGAATTTAGTTTCTTAGATTCGATGATCGTCGGCTTCTTCGATTGTGAAGACTTTGGAAGAGAGTAAATCATATTCCTCACAAGCTTCTCTTTGGTGTTCACTTCTCAAAATCCTTGAGATTGTTGACAATAATGAAAATTCTATATGTCATAGCTTTGATATCTTCATTCGGTTTCATCTTGAAATTCTCAGGTTGAGTATGCTGATTTTGGTTTCCCTCACTTCATTGGTTCCTTCATGAGTGACTTAGAGCTTGTCCCAAATCTCCTTGGCATTGGAACATGAGGAGACTCTTCCGTATTTATCCTGAACTAATGCACAAAATAGAATGTGCATAGCCTTAGCATTGAGTTAGAACTGCTTCTTTTCTTCATCAATCCAATCATCCATCTCATCGGCCGGAATACAGTATCCATTTATGATTGAGTTCCAAGCTCTTAGATAGTTGGCTTGAATAAATAACATCATCATGTTCTTTTAATATGCATAATTAGCTCTATTGAAATACGGTGGCTTGTTAACAAGGTTGAGAATATTCGATGAGGTATGAGCCAGAGGTTGAAGCCATCTTCTCGGTTGTGTCAAAAATTGGTAAAATTTCTTAAAGGATCTTCTCAAGGTTGTTAGTCCTTCAAATATGTCAAGCTGTGATACCAATTGTTAGGATATGAAGAAGTTCGATTGTATAACTAGAGAAAATTGTAAGAGCGGGTGAATTTACTTTATAGGAATTTTATGGAGTAAGGAGTAAAAAGAGATAGAAAATTGTTGCATAAGAATTTATAGTGGTTCAAATCCCTCAATGAAGTCTACATCCACTACCTAAGCTCATCACTTAGGATTTTCCAACAAATTCACTAATTTGTTCTTTCTTTTTCAAGGATCAAGAGATAACTTTTACACTCTCTATTTTTTCACATAGCTAAGATAAAATCAAAACCCCTTTGCAAAGGATAAAATAAGTAAACAAATAAACCTCTCAAAGGTATGTGTTTACAAAGTATTAAGCTAACACAAACATAACTATTTACAAGAGAAATGAAAATAAGAATTGAAAACTCTTCTCGTGTGTTTGATTTATTGGATAGGTGTTCTAACCCTTATTCAAGTGTCTTGTTCTTGTATTTATATGTTGTAATGTGTTTGTGGTTGTTTCTAGCCGTTGGGAGTGATTTGGATCCATTGGGGATGTTTTTCTCTACAAAATAACATTGCCCATAACAGAGGGTATCGATACTCTTACAAGGAGTATTGGTACTACTTGTGTTATATTTAAATAAAACTAGTCGTTATTAGTCGTTGGTCCCGACAATATTGATACTAAGCCTATGGTATCGATACTACTATGTAAAGTAGTGTCGGTACCCTTTTGGGTATCAGTATCATTTTTGCATTTTAGAATTTGAGCAATGTTGGTAGTATCGATACTACCTTATGAGTATTTAGCAAAATCATGATAAGCATAATTTTTAAAATTTTGTAAAAATATATCAAGTATTTCGATAAAAAGGCAAATTTGTTATTCCCTAAAGTTAGATTTTATATTTTTACTTTTTTTCCTTTTATCCATATTTTAGGAAATAAAAGTAAAAAGGTTCAAAATACAAGCAGTGATAGTAACAACTGAATGAAGCCATAGTTTTACTCAGAAACAAATGATTTATTATATTATATATGGAAGATTGTAATCTGGTTCTGGGAGGAATTGTTTTGTTAAAAAATCTACTTGATAAATTTATAGAAAAGAAAAAACATCTCTGCGTTTTTCTTCTCTGTTATGATGGTAAGAGGAAGTTAAATGCATCCAATGCAATGTGTATGTACTGATATATCGATGCATTCAAATGCAGTGTTCTATATTTAAAGCAAAACATCTATGGTTGTACGTTGTACTGATCACTAAATTGGCAGATGCAAAATGAAATCCCTAAAAATTGTGGGGTTTTAATTAATTTTAAATATTGGAAGTGGATGACCAATATTATCTTTGTCATTCTGTTATTTGTGATTGCTCAAATCCTACAATTTCATTATGATATCTTTAATAACTAAATTATATTTTTTCTTTAGGCAACAACCAAGGCAATCTCACAAAGTCAGAATTCTGTAACTGTTGATGATGAAGATATGGATCCCACGTTATAGTTTAATGTTTATGATAATGATGCTTTTCACAAATCACAATGCAAAATTCATATAGATTTAAGTGAGCTCTTGGCAAAATGTTAAACTTAACCTTTTCTTACCATTAATTCCATGAGAATATGACGAAATTTCTTGCAGCTCAAAAGGCAGAAGGAAAAAAATCCATATCCTCATAAAATCTTCGCATCAATGTCTATAGTCGAATATATATATATATGAATATTGAAGCTCAGGCAATGGGGAACATTTTGAGGATGTTGTAGTGTCTTTGTCTGGTATTTAACGATGCCCTCTTAATCCCATTATATACCATCCAATGTATCATGGTTGTTTTCATTTATTTATTTTGAAATGACTCTATTGTATTTATTTTATGCTAGAGCGAATTATGAGAAAAAGAGCATCCAACTCAAAGTTTTTCCTCTATGACTTGCGTGGTGGCACTGCCAAAGTTCAAGTTATGCCTGATGCGAGGTATATGACCATTTTCATCATAAGATGTGTTTTCTTATTTATGTCCTCAAAATTTGTCTTGTTATGTGAAGGTTTATGGGACATTCAAGGTAATGCTAGTTTATGGGACATTCAAAGTCAGGCTTCGATGAAGTTGAGTTCACTAAATTCCATTTTACTGTGAAGCGTGGTGATGAAGCAATTAGGTGAAGATTTTGGAATGTCAAGATCGGCAATCATGTGATGATGAAGTAATGTATTTGGATGAAACATTATATATTCTACTTGAGTATGGATTGCTGCCAACAGGTGGTTGGGGATTGGGTATTGGTCAGCTAGCTATGTTATGAACGGATTCACAACACATCATGGTTCTATCTAGTTTATTTGTGTATTTGTATATAAATCACTCACAAATGAGATTCAATCGACTTTTAATCGGCACTCATAACTTGTTCCATGTTATGTTTGAACTGAAGGTTTTTCTCTTCCCAACAATGAAACCACGTGATGAACCATCGGCTAAAGGTAATTAATTCAATTTTTACACTGTTTATCTCCTCATATGTTTCCAAATTCTATTTCAAATGTAGAACAACATACAATATTGTACCCGTAATAAACGTGTAGTGTCTTCATGCCATGTTATATTGAATTTATAGCATGCAACTAGATTATTTGGTTGTGTTAGCAGCTCCAACAACTCAGCGAGTTTGACTGGCTTAAATCTGACACTATGAAGCCATATGCAAGGAACTGAAATAAAATTCAGATTAAATAACAGGTTCGAAATACAACGATTAAAGCTTCATTTAGTGACTAAAATGGAAGATTACAAATGTGGAGACCCTTCCCGCATGAATAGCCCATACTCTAAACACATGGTCTCTATCTCTCAAGACAGCGTCATTTGGTTTCTTAAATGTAAGCCAAACTTATGCCCTAAATGGATAAGAAACACTTTGTATCTCTTTCATATTTTTCCTAAAAGCTGAAATCCCCTATTCTCTCCATCGCATATTTTCTTTCATCGAGAAGAAGCCGGCTACCGCACAGTTAGTGGAAAATTTCCCTAAAACTTGAAACCTAAATCTCACTGAGGCTCTCTTTGAACCAAAATGTCAAATATTCGAAGTCTAAAATAAACTTTCAAATACCCCAAACCTTAAAAACACCCTCTCTTCGAGACCCCTAAACTACCCATACAAGTCTCAATATCCTAAAAGTGAGGTTTTACCCTTGAGAACAATGAATAAGCGACGGCAACCATCCCTCAAAGGTATAGTTTTTGGGGTTTCTTCTCTAATTTTGTGGTTTTGTATCTGGTTTAAAAATGGTGCTTCTCCTTTCGATTTTTCTCCCTTGTTCGAAGATGGTGATTGGGTTGCACATTTCTTTTTTCATTTTTTCTTGCTCTCCAAAACTTATCCCTTCTTCGAATCATCTTGCATGTTATATATGGAGAAAATACCTCTTTTTCCACATATTGGAGCTCTTTGACCTGACGAGGGGACACACCGGCGGGGACAATGCCTGGGTTCGGTGGTTATAATGGTATCAAAGGACAGGGTAAAGTTTTTTACCCCAAGGCATTCGTATTTTCCTCTGCAGTGATCGGAGAGAGATACGGCGGCGGTGACTATAACGATGGCGGGGTTGCATGGGGAAATGGAGAGGCGTATCTAGGACCATTGGATCAGATTTGATCCAACGGTAGAGAAGCTTGCGGTAGCTGGAAGCAATTAGGGTTAGTAATAAAACTCTAGTTTTATTTTTAATATGGGTCATTGGATCAACCCTAGATCCAACGGTTGGGGCGTCTGTTGGAATATGAGAAAATCTAATTTGATGGGTCTTCACGCGGGGCCTGGCTGATGAGTTTAATAAGTTTGGGTTTAGATTTGTAAATGGGTTTTTAGTTTTGTAATATTTGGTTCTTGTAAATGGACTTTAATTTGATCCAATGGTTTAAAAATGCGTGATTAATCACAGCTGCTGCCAAACTGCATAACATGTGATAATTAAATGTTTTATTTTATTAAATACATGTGATGTTTGTGTTTTAAGGGCTGGAAATTATTGCTGCCTAATTTTCGAACTGAAAACCATGTGTATGCCACCACTACAAACAGACTGAATAAACTGAAACACTGGTGTATCCCACTTAAAACTGAAACTGAAACTGAAACACGTTTGATGCAACATTTTCAACATAACAGACTAAAATAGAAATTGAAACAGAAACAAGTTTGATGCTACATTTGCAATATAAAGAGGAACTGACCATTGTAAACATTATACGCATAGTGAATGTAAATATTATACACATAATGAATGTTGATTGTGAGAGTATTGATTGTAACAATGTTGTTGAATTATAAGTTGGTGGTTGTTTTGGTGATTTGTTTCTTAGTTCTAGTTAAAGCTTAACTCCCCTACATTTTTATAAACTCAGTCTTCAATGGCCTCATGCTGCGTGTAATTCCGGTGGCATGGCTTGTGATACTTCCATCCCGTTTGTGTTAACCATCCATGGTATATGGCCTCAAGATGCTAACGACGTTCCGATTCCCCACTTAAAATGCAGCCAATAATCCCTGTTACTCCAAGGCACCCATTACTTCCGGAGTAGTAGTTCAGGTAAGCATCCCATCAACTTTTTAATTTACTTTTTTTTTTTAAATTTATATATATGATCTAACGTATATTTCTCTAATTTAGAATACATTAACTATAATTCAAAGCAACTTAATATCATTATGGCCGGACTTCAAGAATCCTACTCAAGCGGGTAATGGCTTTTGGGAACATGAATGATTTAATCATGGAACATGTTCTGATTACCCTAATAACCCTCTTGATTACTTCAAATCTGCCTTAACGCTTAGACAAGGCTTAACAAATCCAGGTGAGTATGTTTACTTTGCACTTGCTATTATATCTTCTGTTATTGAGTTTATGTATAAGATGGTTGAAAATTGAAATTATGTACTATCTATGGGTTTCACTATCATATTATTATTATTATTGTTGTTGTTATTATTATTATTATTATTATACAATAATTTTTAAGATTAAATAGTTGATAATTCATCTTCTTAACACAGTTTCTAACTTATTTTGATTGATTCATGAGACTTGTACCAGAAAAACAATTACATGGTTCAAGATGTTATAAAAATAATTCAGGGCCTTACAAAAGCTTCACCTGAAATTGCTTGTAACAGAAACAAAACTGGAGGATTGCAACTGTGGGAGATTTGTTTGTGTTACGTTCGACCGACTTCGTCTTCTCAAATGATTACAAATATTCAAAATTGTCCAAATAAAATGTCATTTAAAAATGGTAAAACTATAAGCCCCTGCAAATTGTTGACAGATTTTGAAGTTTTTCCCATATAAAAACTTTGAATAAAGGTTGCAGTAAACCTTCAAAATTATGATATTTGTAATAAATAATAAAATTAACTTTAAAAATATAAAAGTGATTAAATTATAAAATTAATAAATAATAAAATAATATATTAATTTAAGTCAAACCCATTCCTTGATAGTTTTATTTAATTTTCCTTGTGCATCTTCATCAGCCTGCACTAATGAAAAATAAAATATTAACCTCAAAGAATGTGAATAAAAAGAAAAATAATGTTAATTTAATCAACCCGAAATAAGGAGACCTGCTTTAAAGTATTTTCTAAAAATAATCAAGGCTTTTATAATAAATTTATCTTATCAAATTAGAAGATAATTAAAAAATCTTTGAAAAAAAATATTGTTTTGATTGAATATCATGTTAATTTAGACTCTATAAAATGAAAGAAAAATTTATTACTTCAATAATTATATAAAAAATAACATAAATCAGAAACCCTCAGTTATAAAGGTAAAAAATAGATATCATTAAAAGACCTCAATTAGAAGACTGATAATTTTCTTGTTACGGAAAAAAGAAGTTTTTTTTTTTAATTTCAAGTTTCGAGCATGACGAGTTATATAATAGATAATTTCGAGTTGGGGTGAGACTATATTTCATGTGAAAAATCACTTATCCGACCCAACCTTATATAAATTGTTAATTTACTCATTTATATTTATAATACATTTAAAGTTTAGAGGTTTTTATTTTTATAATGTTAAAATATATTCTTTAATAATAAATTATGTAAAAATATATTATTTTAATCTTTTAACATGTAATGACTGATTATAGATATATAATTATTAAATATATTATTTTAAAATACTAATATAGTGTACATAGTCAATATTGTGCAAACCCTGTCTACGATAAACTAATGGGTTTCAAAAGGGCTCGACCAGACCCATCAAAGTAGTGTAACCAATGATCAGTTTCAATTGTAGTTTTCTTGTTACAGAAAAACGTTTGATGTTACTTGTTATAAGTTTTTTCTGTCTTCGTTTTCTTTCATATTAGTTCTTACCGTCTTTCCCCAAACAAAATCATCTATTGAAAAACACAAAGGAAATATAGAAGATAAAGAGGGACGATGCAAGAGTTGATCAAAACTAGAATCGAATTACTAGAGATGTTGGTGTTGGAGATTCTCTCAAAGCTTCTTGTTAAATCCTTGGCCCGTTTCAGGTGCTTTTGTAAGCCCTGGTCTTCATCTTTTGAAACCTCTCATTTCATTACCACACATCATCAGAACAACCTCAAAAATAATAACCTTAATCTCCTCTCCAAACATTGTCATGGTGACACCCGTGATGACAACCATTATTTCTCTCAACTTTCGACCGAGAAAGACCAAAACTTTAGACTAAAACGCAATACTCACTTACCATTTTTTGAGAATTTTGTGCATGCACCTTTAGCTCATGGTCGTTGTAACGGAATATTGTGTTTAGCAAAGCCAATAGTTTGACATAATGTTGCCCTTTGGAACCTATCTACGAGAGAGTTTAAAATCCTTCCTCAATCCATGGTCCAACACCCTCCTGGACTAGAATACACTAGTTTTTATTGCCTTGGTTTTAGGTATGATTCTCAAACTGATGACTTTAAAGTTGTGATATTTTTTCTAATTGTTTTGCGGGAAAATGAAGAAGGGGTGATCATTTATAGTCATTCGATCGATCAAGATGAGTTATATTTTCTTAAAAGCGATTCATGGAAGGAAATTTCATTTCCTGGGTTGATGCTTTTGCTTCTACTTTGTTTAATAATTATGTCAATGGGTTTATTTATTAGCAGGTATTTGTAATTGATCACCTTATTCTTTCGTTTGATATGGTTAAGGAAAAGTTTTCAACTTCACCACTACCTAAATTTGGTGGGAGTTTAGAACAATATTATTTTGAACTATTGGACTTCAATGGATTGCTTGGTGCTATTTTTTACCCAATTGAAGGAACTGACAAGTCTTTTGATTTATGGGTTATGAATGGGTTATGGACTAAACACTTCAGTGTTGAATTTGTTATTGGAGTTGAGAGGCCTTTGGGGTTTTGGAAAAATGGAAAGTTGTTTCTCGAGAGCACGAATCAAGAACTAGCTTTATTTGATCACTCCATACAAGGACTTAGAGACCTTAGTATTCACGTTTATCAGAAAACAATGCACATTATTGCTTATGTTGAGAACTTGGTTCTATTGAATGGAAGATCAGAGCATGAGGAATGTATAAAACGATGGGCAGCCAGAGGTGAATCAAATTGATGTTGAACACTAAGATTCATGGGAAGCTACAACAAAAGAGGTAAGATTTAATGGGATTTGGTCTCTTCCTATGCACTTTATGTCAACTATATTGTCTAGTGATGTTCTCAAATATTGTTGTTATTGTTTTAATCGTATATACATTCCCTATATATTGACTTGTTTAGGTTTCTGTTTGCTTTTGGTTGTTTTAGTGGATTACGTCCTACATATTTTCTTAGTTGTTAACTCTGATATGCAGTTCTATTGACCTGCATATCATGATTGTAGATGCATATATATGCCACACGGAATACTTTTCGTACTTGAATTTGCTTCTAAGAGCTCAACGTCCCCTATAGTTGAATGTAATTTGAAGTTGAACATAGGAACTATTATTATTATATGTACTTTAGATCCAATGAAACAATGTCAATGGTTTGGTCTTGTTTTGTGTAAAGCCATTAAGGGTATTTGCAGGGGTAAATGGGTTAACACTACTTTCTTGAAAGAGTTTCCTTTGTGGAATATTCCTGGAAATTGTTGTATTTTTCTGTATATATATGATAATTCACAAGAGCTTTTGTGTGTGCTTATATATGTTTTTCCAGTTTAAGAGTTGGAATTCCAGACCTTTTTATGTGTGATAATTTTCATTATTGACCTCAGTTATTTGTTTTAGAGGTAAATAGATTGCAGTCTTGCAGAGGTCTTGTTTTAGTTTGTTCGTGCTTGGATGTGAGTGTCGAATATGAGTATTTTGATAGTTTTTTAATGTCATTGGAGGGTCCTTAGAAGATCATATTCTCGTACCTATATGCCGAAATGTACAAACACAGGATACATGATACCTGCAGAATTGAATAGCGCTTATAGGATACATGTTAAGATTTTGGACATATTGGTGCTCATTGGTTTGATAGTTTTGATGAAATGAGATACGACTTGTATCATACATCACATAACTGCAGAATCAAAGAAGGTGTGGCTTGTTAGTTAGATCTATATTTCTCTAAAAATATTCATATTCGATATTTATATTACATAGAATGTCGTTACAAGTGCGTTAATTTATACTTCCTGATAAATCTTTAATGGGAAAAGATAAAAAACGTAGAAAACTATGGTCTCGAGGCAAAGTATATGGATTGAAAGAGCACTTGTAGAACCTCCTGTAGTATATTCTACTAGATTGCTTCATTGGTTTTGGGTATGATTCTTAAACTAATGACTTTAAAGTTGTAAGATTTGTTACTAATTACTTTGGAGAAAATCTAGTTGAAGGGTTGATGACAGATTGGAATAACCAAGTCGAGTTATGTTCCCCTAAGAGTGATTATATTCGAGTTATAGGGAGGCAGTTGGGGATTCTGACGAGTAATGACCTTATTCTTTCATTTTATATGGTTAATGAAAAGTTTTTAACTTTACCACAACCTGAATTAGGTGAGACTTTAGCACAATACTATTTGAAGCTTTTGGACTTCAATGGATTGCTTGGTGCTATTTTTTATCTAAGGGAAGGAACTGATAAGTCTTTTGTTAGAAATCAAACTCAATTTTGTAACCATATGTCGCAACAAGACTTTGAAAAGTCAAAAGCGGTAAATGGTGACAACTAGCAATATGAAACATGGCAGCAACAACACTTGAAATACTTAATATTAAGCAAGGTTAAGTTGGCAAAAGCTAGAAGATTCTTGATTAATGAAGCATGATCTTGAATTACTTAAGAACTAAGTATGGAAAATAAACATGTGACAATTGATGATGGAAGGGAATTTCATTAAGACAAGGAACTCCATGTGGCAATACAAGAAGAAATTGGAAATGCCTAGATCTTTCATTAAGGAGGTTAATTACCCTTATAAATATACGTCTTTAGCATTAATATAAATGTATACAAAGAAAATGAGAAGGAATATGAGAAAAGGCTTAGAAAAGCCAGAATGAGAGATAGCTTAGCAAAACTATTAAAGAGATAGGGTGAAGCTTAGAAAAGCTTAGATTAGCGAGGTTGTGTTTGTAAACAAGCCGCAGCTAGTGTTGTAGTGTTGTGGTATTGTAATATTGAGTTAGTGTCGTTGTAACATATTTTGCTTCGTATCAATTAAAGTACGAGTGTTATAAATTACCGAGTACCCACCTACGCTTCCAACAAGTGGCCTCAGAGCCAGGTTTGATTTTAACGTGGTGGAGAAGATGACCAACATGATTCAACCTTAAATTCCGCGATTGACAAAGATGAATTACGGCAATTGGAGCATTCAAATGAAGGCGTTACTAGGCTCCCAATATTGTTGGGATATCATCGACGATGGTTAAACTGAGCCTGAAAATGCAAAGAAGAATATATAGCCGCAGCAGGGTGCACTTGCCAAGAAATAAGAATCGATTGGAGATGACAAGTGGAGAAAAGCTCGGAAGGGAAAGTCGAGTTTGAGGGGGAGTGTTAGAAATCAAGTTCAACTTTGTAACCATATGTCGGCAAGAAGAATGTAGAAGCATATGAATTACTTAGCAATAAAAGACTTTGAAAAGTCAAAAGCGGTAGAATGGTGACAACTAGCAATATGGAAATATGGCAGTAATAACCCTTTGAAATACTTAATTATTAAGCAAAGGTTAAGTTCGCAAAAGCTAGAGGATTCTTGATTAATGAAGCATGATCTTGAATTACTTAAGAACTAAGTATGGAAAATAAACATGTGACAATTGATGATGGAAGGGAATTTCATTAAGACAAGGAACTACATGTGGCAATACAAGAAGAAATTGAAAATGCCTAGATCTTTCATTAAGGAGGTTAATTACCCTTATAAATATATGTCTTTAGAATTAATATAAATGTATGCAAAGAAAATGAGAAGGAATATGAGAAAAGGCTTAGAAAAGCCAGAATGAGAGATAGCTTAGCAAAGCTATTATAGAGAGAGGGTGAAGCTTAGCAAAGCTTAGAATAGTGAGATTGTGTTTGTAAACAAGCCGCAGCTAGTGTTGTAGTGTTGTGGTATTGTAATATTGAGTTAGTTTCGTTGTCACATATTTTGCCTCGTATCAATAATAGTTTGAGTGATCTAAATAATCGAGTGCCCACCTACGCTTCCAACATCTTTTTGATTTATGGGTTATGAATGGATCATGGACTAAACAATCAACGGCCTGTGCAATACGGAGGCACGTCAAATCAATATTGAAGACAAAGATGGATAGGAAACTATAAACAAAAAATGGAAAGACCTAATGGGATTTTGTCTCTTGATATCTACTTTATCTCAACTATATTGTCTTGTGATGTTCTCAAATAATGTAGACATGTTTAGGCTTCTATTTGTTTTTTGTTGTTTTAGTGGATGCACAAAATTACTCTCTACAGATTTGCTTAGTTGTTAACTCTTGTCTGCAGTTCTATGACTTGCATATTATGATTTGCAGGTGCGTATATATGCTAGACTCGGAGTGCTTTCTGACTTGCTTAGAAGTCAATGTCCCCAATAGTTTAATGTCATTTGAAGTTGAATCTAGGAACTATTATTGTTGGTATTGTTATGATCATGTGTTATTTTTCGTACTTTAGATCCAATGAAACAGTGTCAATTGTTTGGTTTTGGTTCATATGTGGAATATTTATGGAAATTATTCTATTTTTTCTACATATATATAATAATTCACATGAGCTTTTGTGTGTGCATATAGAGAGTTTATTTGATTTTGCATGTTTGCTTTTCCGATTTAAGAGTCGGAATTCCAGATCTTTTTGTGTGAGATGATTTTCATTCTGGACCTCAATTATTTAATTTACAGGTAAATGGATTGCATTCTTGCAGAGTCTTGTTTTAGGTTGTTCGTGCTCGTATGCGAGTGTCAAACATGTCGAATATGGGTATTCTGATAATTTTTTAATGTAGTTGGAGGGTCCTTAGAGGATCGTATGCTCGTACGTATATCCCACGGGATACATACATTTATGAATAAGTAGCCTGGACAGATTGGTGCTTATCCTTACATTTATGAGTAGCCTGGACAGATTGGTATTTTTATTACTTTGTAGTGTTTTTTTTGGTCTTTGTAGGAGTACACTTTTCCTTTATTTAAGTTTAGGGAGGTTTTTAACGATGCTCCTAAGGTTTTAATTCAAATCGCCTAGGAATGAGGACGCTGAAAGAATGTGAATATAGCGGTTAGTTTTGATTCCTTGTATGTGTGTTTTTGTCTAAATGTTTGATATGAATTTTTCACTTTTGTCATGGAACGTAAGAGGGATGGGTAAAAAGGAAAAAGTAACGGTTATAACTCGTGTAATTTCAACGTGTAAAGCACGATTTGTGTTCTTGTAAGTATGGGTGAGCGTTCGATCGAGTCGAGTCAAAATATTTTGAGTTATTCGAGTTGACGAGTCTTATTTTATAAGTCCGAGTTGACTTGAAATTTTAAGCACGATTTGGTTTCTTGTAAGTATGGGTGAGCGTTCGATCGAGTCGAGTCAAAATATTTTGAGTTATTCGAGTTGACGAGTCTTATTTTATAAGTCCGAGTTGACTTGAAATTTTTTGGAGTCGAGTCTAGTCAAGTCAAATTTTCAAGTTTCTATTTTAATTTTATTGTAAATATTTATAATATCATGCCATTACTTTATTCCAATTTAAATGTTATTTTATAACTATATATAATACATATATATTTTTCATATTTTTTTCATATGTAATTTACATATACCGAACAAAATTGAGGGACTCGACTCATACTTCGATTCAAACTTGAAAATTAATATACTAATTACTAAAAATTTTGAGTTATTTGAGTTGTATTTTACAACTCGATTTGAAATTGAATTTTTTTTAGTCGAGTTTATGAAACTACAACTTGAAGTCAATTCGAGTCGAGTTTTTTCAAGTATAGCCAAGTCAAAAAAATTGGTTTTTTGAGTCGAATCGACCTTGTTGCAACAAACGAAATTGTCGGCCGTTAATCCTTGGACATCAAGACGTTTGATGGGAAGATATTTTGGAGAGTTAACCTTC